GAGAGATTGGTCAGCAGTTAAGAGTACTGACTGTTTTTCCAGAGGACCCAGGTTCAATTCCTCAGCACCCACATGGCAGCTCACAACTGGCTGTAACTCCAGCTCCAGGGAACCCAACACCCATGGCAAAACACCAATGCACATAAAATAAAAATAAATAAAAATTAAAAAAAAAAAAAAAAGAAACTACCCGAAAACAGGGCAGGTAATATAAGTTCAGTGGATAAAAGGTGCTTGCCAACAGACCTGACAACCTGAGTTTGATTCCCAGGTCCCACAGTATGGAAAGAGTCAACTCTTAAAAGCTGCTCTTCACACAGCTGCACACATGGGATGTGTACACACAGGTACACCAAATATATATATTTTAAAATCTCTGGATCACACTGTGGCTCCTGATGGGGAAATGGCTGATTCACCAGAAGAAGTGGATACAAGATGTTACCAGGGAGACAGATCCATTTCAGGAGCTTCATCTACCATAGATGGTGGATTCCTGAATTTAATCAGTAGCACAGGCAGGTAGTTGGGGGGGGGTGAGGGGGGGTGAGGGAGGGTGGTATTGACCCCTAGAGTTCAGCCCCCAGCCTCTCAGCTTCCTTTCCCATCTCTTCCGAGTCCATCTCTCTCATGAACAGCAGCAGGTGATTCCTGCCTCCCCTTCTCTTCCACAGTGGGTGGAGCCCTTATGCTCTACCAGCCCCAGACACTGTTATAGGAGCTGGGGTCACATCATCGAACAGACCAGTCCTACACCTGTAAAACTTGCTCTAGACCCCTAATCTTCTGGGGCCAACATCCTACATGTAGCTGCCATCTTGAGAGTTACTTCCTGGTCCATAATGGCTGCTGCAGCTCCAGCCACTGTCTTCACATTACAGGCTAGGAAAAAAGAGGAATAGCAAAGGCAAAGAATATGCTTTATAATAAAGACAAGTTCCTGTTGGAATTCCCAGACACTCCCCCAGCTACATGACCGCATGCACTGGAAAGATGCTTAGTCATCCTAGGGCCTTAAGTCCTAAAATCCGGGAGCTGTGTGATCACATAATTTGCACACAGCAAAGATCACATAACCTTTGTGCATGCGTGGCGTAGCTACGAAAGCCAATATGCACATGTGCGGGGGGGGGGGGGTATCCTATAACACATCTTTCTTATTCCTTTCCCTCAATAAACTCTTATAGTGGGTTTTGTTGTACCTCGTGGGTCTTCTTGCATGGTAAACAGTGCTGCTTAATGAATAACATTGTGCCACTTAGTAAATAACAGTTCTTTTTGCTCATATCTTACTAGATTAAAAAAAAAATTAACTTGCAGGCTGGGGATGTAGCTCACTTGGTAGTGTTTGCTTAGCATATACAAAGCCCTGAGTTCCATCCCCAGAATGTCATAAATCAGGTGTGGTAGTACACACATGTAATCCCCAGCAGTGCAGAGGCGGAATCAGGAGGATCAAAAGTTCAAGGCCATCATCGGCTACATGGAGGGTTCATAGCCAGCCTAAGCTAGAGACTTTGTCTTAAGAAAAAAGAGAAAAGGGGAAGAGAAAAAAAGAAAGTAAAGCTTGGTTCTGTTAGTTAGTTAAAAGAACTAAGACAGATAGCACAGATGTTTAAGATGCCCAGTCATTCAGCTGATGGGTATGTGAGACACTGCCAACTTGGAGATAATATGAATGAGTAAACACATCCAGAGAATTCGTAGACAAGTCTCTTAAAAAAAAAAAAAAGTGTGGCTGGGCAGTGGTGGCTCACACCTTTAATCCCAGCACTCAGGAGGCAGAGGCAGGCCGAGTCTACAGAGTGAGTTCCAGGACACCTAGGGCTGTTACACAGAGAAACTCTGTCTTGAAAAACCAAAAAATAAAATTAAATAAAATGTTTTAAAAAGTGTGTGTGTGTGTGTGTGTGTGTGTGTGTGTGTGTGTGTGTGTGCGCGCGCGCGCATGCGTGTCTGGGAAGGATCAGGGACATCAAGTCTTCCCCAATTGCTTTCCACTTTATTCAGTAAGGCAGGGACTCCCAAATGAACCCAGAGCTTGCCTAACACAGCTAGTCCAGCTTGCCAGCTTGCTCCAGAGATGTCTCAGTCTTCTGCTGGAATTACAGGTAAACGCCATGCCCCCTCAGCATTTACATCAATCCTCATACTTGTGCAACAGACATTTTATTCACAGAACCATCTCCCTACCCTCTTTACTTTCTTTTTAAGGGTGGGAGTGGGGTGGGGTGGACATTCCTCTTCAGTACATACACAGGAGTGGAATATCTGGATCACAGGTTAGGTGTACATTCAGTGGATAAAGTGGCAAACCATCTCTGGAAACAGTCACAAGCCTTTATATTCCCCCCCAGCAGACCCATCAAGGATACTTTCAGTGTATTGACAGCTTAATCCACGCACATTGGATGCGAAAATCGGAAATGAGATCGCATGTCTGGAAACTTCTCTGCAGGAGCCATGCCACTTAGGACCGGAGGCATCAGCTAACAGGCTCTCCTTGAGTTTTGTGGGACAGGGAACGCTTATCAACCTTAGCCCTGGTTTCAATGGACCAAGCGATCGTTTTCTCTCTGCCTGTAACTCAAACCATGGAGATGAGGCGAGGAAGGGCGCCTCGGAAATGGGAGTCTGTGCCAAGCTCATTCATAACAAACATTCCTTACACACAGTGCACGTCGCCTTGCCAGACACAAGGTGGGGAGGGAGGGTGTGGAAGATTCCATGCCTGCTCTCTCAGTCTCCTGCTCCTCTGCTGTGAAGGCAGGCACACGGATCTGACCTCTGGCTTTTGATCTCTGACCTTTGTGTTTTGTTCTGCCTGCTCTCTCTGGGTCATCTCAGCTGAGCCCGTGGATTCAGCCGACACCACACTGACCTTCACTGACCGGCGGGGGTCCCAGGAGTGTGTTCCCCACCCACCTCCACCCTACATTCCTCTCTACTCATAATTTCCAAGCCTCTCATGAGTGAATATTGTAGCTTTGTCTTTGGGGTACATCCACAATCCTGCCATTTCTCCCCACTGCCACCTCCATGGCTCTCGTCCAAGCCATAGTCACCTCTGATCTGAATTGCTCTTCTATGGTTAGGAAGCAGTGGTCCACATGCCAGCTCTCGGTCCATCACCTTTCAGGAATAGAAACAGGTTTCTCTGACCTCCAGGGTTCCAGCAGATGGGAGCATTAGGAGTTTATGTACGCATGTGTGTCGGGGTGAGCTCCCTTGGTGAGTTCCTTGAGCTGTCCCTTTGGGGCTCAACCCCCAGCACAGGGCCTTAATACCCAAGGGAAACAGGTATGCAAGGCTGGTCCAGGCTTTTAACTTAGACTGGCTCACAGCCATTCCTGTGCTCCCATAGCGCACGTATCCCTAAGCAGTGATGGCGAATGCAGCAGTTCCCAGACTCCACTGTGTAGGAGTGTGATAGATACATGTCTCTGTGTTTGCACACACATGCACATGTATGTGGAGGCCAGAAATTGATGTTGGGTGTCTTCCTCAACTGTTCCCTATTTGCTTATTATTTACTTTGAGACATGGTCTCTCACTGAACCCTGTACCATCTCAGAAACTGCTGTGTTAAGAGAACTTCAGATGAGGAAAATGACTACGGTTCCTAGTGTGACCCTGACTTTGATGAGAAAAGTGAAGAACTCAGCCTGTTAAGATTGCTCAGCAGCCCCAGGGTGGGAAGCTGCAGAAACTTCCTAAAGCAGAGGGATACAACCCTGTGACCCTGCTGCGGACTCTGATGAGGATGCTACGAATTTTATTGCATTTTGTGTCCAGGACCTGAGTGACAGCACTGTGCCCTTGACTTTGACCCCTTTGTTTTGTTTGTCCTTCAAGGGTCTTGAGTGATAAGAGCCGATTTTCTTTTGCCTTATTGTCACCACCACCACCACTACCCCCACCC